TATAATAAAAATGAGTTTGATATTAGCATAGGTCAAATTCGATTGGTTTATGAGGGCAAAAGCAGTAAAACCTCTTTTGACTCTGTCCTTTTTCTCGAGTGATAAAAAGAAGTATAAATATAAATTTATATATATATATATATATATATATATATATATATATATATATATATATATATATATATAAATGTATATATAGATATTTAAGTATATATATGCAGTATTTAAGTATATATTAAAGATGTATGTGTATAGATGTAAGTTTTAAGTACAGATATATGATTATATTTAAATTATATATATATATATATTTATATATATATATAAATATTTATATGTATATATGTATTTAAATATATATATATTCATATATATATGTATTTATTAGTATATAAATTTACTAAAATATATATTTATATATGATTACATATATATATTGGATAAATATATATATATAAATTAACATACAGATAAAATATATATATAAATATAAATAAATATATATGTAAATATATATGTATATATATATATATATATATATATGTAAATATAAATATGTATATATATATATAAATAAATATAGTATATATATATATTTATACATAAATATATGTATATATATATATCTCCAATTATATATTGTATATGTATATATAATTATATATTCATATTCATGTTTACATATATATAATTGTGTATGATATATATATCGTTTTAATTTATATTTATATTCTCTTATACTGATATATTTCATATATGATATTTATACATATATGTATTTATATATCTAATATATATAAATATTTATATATATATATATATATATATTATATGTATTTATATATATCTGTATATATATATATATATATATATATATATATATATATATATATATATATTTCTGTATCTATACTTATTATATGTATTTATATATATAAATGAATATCCATTGATATAACTATATATAAATTATACACACACATATACATATATAAATAAAGATGTATAAACATATATATATATATATATATATATATATATATATATATATATATATATATACATCTTTATGAGACGAGGTATTTATATTAATAGGTCTATTGTCCTCATCTGAAGCTGTAACAAGATGGGAAGTGAAAAAATCAGGCGTGGCTGGCCGCATATGGAGAGAAAAGTGAGATCACCGCCCTCTGTCGGATCAGGTTGATCATAGTCAAAGACCCTCAAGGCAAAATTTGTAAATTTAAGGAATCAGCACATATGCTAAGCCACAAGAATCTCCTGAGCCGACCCAGCATAGAAATGAATACAATATGGGAACCAGTATAAATGTGTGTCAGAGAAAATCAATAATAACAGCGAAAATTGCAATATGAGCTCTGGCAAAAAACATAAATGATAACAGCAAAAACTTGTAATATGAGCACCGGTAAAAATCAGTGCAGAAATCATTAGGTATATAATACCCAGAAAATCATACCCAGCTGTCCTCAAGGATACATGGCACAGTGGATAAAGGCGTTAGTTAGATTCAGTGATAAGACCCAAAGAGTGTGAGTTCAATACCTGGTTAAGAGGAATTAACAGGTGATAACTAATAACTGACATATATTCATCATGACCCGTGAAATAAAGGGTTTAGTTCGATATTCCAAACAACTGAATAAGTCCGGAGCGTACAATGATAAATATGGCAACAATGTTTAGGACAATAGTTCGAATAATGTAACTAATTTTCGTCTGTATATTTATATATGTATACATATATATATATATAAATTATATATATATGTATTTATATATCATTAAATATATATATATTGATTTATATGTATATATCGATATATATGTATATAAAATTATATGTATATAAAATTATATATATGTATATAATTTATGTATATATATATTTATACTTATATTCAGTTATATATGTATGTTTTATAAAATATACATATATATATATACCATTACATATATGATTATATATAATTATATATATATATATATATGCAATTATATATATATACTTTCATATATATACATACATTTATATATATATATATGCATATGCATACTTGCTTATAAAGATATATAATTATATATATATATTTATATAGACATCTATATACAACTTTTACATTTATGCATATTTATATGTATATATATATTCATATTTATATATATATATATATAATTTTAATTATATATTTACTTATATATATATCTGTGTTTATATATGCATATATTTAATATACATATATATAATATATGTTTCTTTATATATATATAGTTTGCTATATATATTTATGTTTCTTTTATATATATAGTTTTATATATATATATATATATATTAATCCATATATATATATCTATATCTATCTATCTATATATCTTTATATGCATATATTTATGTATATATATATATTTACTTATTTACTTAATTTACTTCTATAGTAACCAACCTCTTCTAGTAGTTCTCAATTAATTATTTGATCCGTTTATATTTTTGCCATCCATGTTTCTTGGAGATCTCAATTGGTTTTGTATTATCAAATAACACCAGAGTTTCTCGATTGAGTTTCAATCTGGGGAATGAATTGTTGTAAACTTCATAAAATTTTTACGATTTCATTTCTTTGTAGATTTTTTTCTGTTCTTAGTATCATTATCTTTCTGCAATTTTCACTCCGGACGAAGTTCAAGATTTTTCACCGAAATCATTAAATTTGCTTCCATAATATTTTGATATGTTGCGGCATTCATTCTACCATCTGTTACTGATAAGTTGCCTGTACCTTTTGCAGAAAACATCCCCAACCCAGAATACTGCCATTACGAAATTTCACTCTTGGAACTGTTGAAGGCATTGCCATCTTTCCTGCATACATGTTTTCTAGAATTACTTCCAAAAAACTCAATTGTGTGTTCTTCTATCCCTAATACTCTTTCGCTATATAATTATCCTTATCAGTATCTTCCTGAACGATTTTCAAGCTGGCATATCTGTGTCTTTTTAATAGCAGCTGTGTTTACGGTGGAATGTGACTTTCGATTATCCCTTCAATTTCATTGCCTATTGTCCATTTAGTATCACAGATTCCTGATTAAAGCAAATCATCCGCAACACTTCATGAGTAATCATTGGATTGTATAATTTGACGCATTATTTTCCTTAAAGAACTTGAAGAAATCTTCCGTGGCGCAAAGATTTTTCTTTGGTTTTCAACAATTTTGATGTTTTTATACATTACAATCAATTAACTAATGGTAGTAAATGAAATATTCAGGTTGTCTGCGATTTCCTCTAATTTTTACCTTCTTTTCAGAACTTAACGATCATTTCTTTTTTGCGAATTTTCTATTGTTTACCGCTTGCCATGATTAAAATCTTCTTGTACGTATATCAATTACAGAATGTTCTGTTTGTATTTTTATGCTAAAAATAACTTCTGATAATATTATTGAAACATTCAAGAATATTCCACTTGAATAATCTAAAGTTTACGTACAATGCAAATTCCAGAATTTAAAACTTTTAATTGCTTCAATAGCAATTAAATGTTTTAAATTCTGGAATTTGCATTGTACGAAACCTTTTTTCACACATTAAAATGGATAAATAGGATTTATTATATTATATATTTAAAAAAAAAATTATATTTCAACGCACACACAAATGAAATCAGTTTTTTTTTTAAATACTGGATGGGATAATGAATTGTAAGTTTTCTATTTACTTTATAACAACGTCACATGACCGTTGCAAATTAATATAGATTTTATTATATTTAAAAGCATTACGAATTATTATAATTAAAATTTTAAAAAGAGTTAAAATTTCATTATTCCTTGATTATTTTCTTATATATATATATATATATATATATATATATATATATATATATATATATATATATATATATATATATATATATATAGGTACTATTATGAATAATCAAGAGTGATATATGTATGTATGTATGTATGTATGTATGTATTATTATTATGAGAGATTATAATAAAAACCTGTTGAAATCGCTGCTCAAAAGCTTTCATGTTTCATTAGTATGATTGTAATTCTTCAGGCGATGGTAATTAATAGAATTAAGAGAAATTTAAAAACAAAGTGCTACCACTTTTTCGAAAGTTAAAGGGAGGACATAAGGTCAGAATTTAAAATAGACTTGTGGTATGTCTTCATTAAGCAATCAAATTTCAGACCTACGCCAAATAGAAAAGCAAGGTCAGATCTTTTCTTTCCCTGATTTTGTGTATATATATATATATATATATATATATATATATATATATATATATATATTTAATTTCAGTTCAGTAGATAACCTGATTATGTGTCCCCTGCTAGATATAATCACGCTAGTCATTGCTGCTAAGATGTCCATAGAAATCAGTTTTTTTTTTTTTTTTTTTTTTTTTTACGGGATGAATTTGCTAGCACCACTTCCATACACACTCACTTGTGCGTGTGTTTGTGTGTGTGTGTGTATATATGTGTCTATCTATCTATCTATCTATATATATATATATATATATATATATATATATATATATATATATATATATATATATATATATATATGTACACACATTTCTGTGTTATTTTATACTTAAAGCAAATAATAGTTGTTTCAAATGTGATTAATTATACTTTAATCAGATAATATTCCTCACATTGATTTTCAGAAAAATATATTTTACTTCTAGATGATTTTTCAATAAAGAGATTTACATTTCTATAACAATTGTCTTAAATTGTAGAATTTCAAATCGAAATTTCCTTCCAATCAATTTAAATTAGTTTGAAATGCGGCATAGTATTTTGTTTATTGGAATTATTAAATGTCATTTATTAGCTTGAAAGTAGAAATGAATAAAAGCTTCATGAACGATTTTATATTATTATAAATGCATTTTAAAAGTTAGCCATCGTTTTTTTTTTGTTTTTTTGTTTTTTCTTTGTGGCTGTACCTAAATACATGCTCGTCTCTCAGATATTATGTGCTGGTTTCGATTTTCAAATTATTTCTGTCTTTTCTAGCTTACTGTCACAACAAATATTTACATATCTTAAACGACATGGTGAGCCGTTTTCTACGTCGACTAACAAAAAATCCAAGAGTGAAATGAACTTATTCTGATGTGTTACAGTTTAAGGTAAGGGGGTGATTAAGTTAAGAAATACAAGTGCGTTGACAGAAACCCCACTTGTAAGAATAATGAGAAGTTGATGAAAAAAAGATGAAAAGTTGTCGAAAGTTAGAATGTCACGGTAAAGGTCCTTGTTTATCCGAAGAATGGAGTCGTCAAGTCGATTGTGTTGTTATCTTTAAAAGACTGTAAATGAATATAGAAGGAGGAAATGTCAATAATTGTTGCTAAGAAAAAGCCAGTGGACCGTATGGATATCGGATGGAATACAATACAAAAAAATAATAGTTATGCGAATGAAGTACAGTGAATATTGAGAAAAGAAAAATCCCTCTGTAAACTGTAAAAAATAAAAATAAAAAACAGGAAAAGAGAAAAATAATTAAACGTGCGATAGTCATTTTCTCACCGACATGATGTGGCTTCCCTCTGTCTTTTCTACAAATATTTTCATGTCAACTGCTCTGACAAGCTTTTTTCCTTGGTGCCCTGACTATAGGAATTTAAGCGTGCTACTAGACTGGCGTTTAGGTCCCACCCTTTTACTGTTGAAATACTTAAACGTAACCTCCTCTTCTACTCCAACAGATTCTTTTCCAGCAACTGTGGATGTCCTTTTCGCTTTTCTTGTTTTCCTGAAAACTACAATCTTCAAAAATTTAAATGCAACGTCAATGGCCGTCTTCTGTTGTCTTTAAAACCTCATTCATCATTTCCTCACCCCCCACACACTTATACCCATTCTCTTCTCTCACTTTTACTCTGTAACCCCTCACTGCGTACTAGTGTCATTCCCGCCGTACTTGGAGTAAAATGATTACACCCCCGTCAAAAAAAAAAACAAAAAAAAAATGAAGGAATCGTAAATTTAAGATACAACTTTATATTAAGCACTGAAACAGTATTGAAATTTTCAGTATATATATATATATATATATATATATATATATATATATATATATATATATATAAATGAAACCCTCGTAGTGTTTCCTTCACAGTAGATAATTCAAGCAGCCCAATTATGAATACAAAATAGGTAAAAATCGAAAAAAAATTGTTTATTGACTTATTCTAACATTGGAATTAAAAAGAATATAATTCTTTAAAAAGGTTAAATTTGATCTCATGGTAGTAGATGCGAGTTTGATTAATTTAAATTCTCCACGATATGAATAAATATTCGAAAGTGTTTTTTGGAATTCTTTTTGTAAAATTTGCATCATTTAAGTTCTTAGTTTATGAGTTAATATTTTGATAATCGTTTCTTGTTTTTTCTTTAACATTTATTCTACTTCTTTTATAAGGGAACTTTACTTTTGATGTGCGAATGTTATCAACATTAAAGTTACGGCACATTATTAATTTATAAAAATAGTAAAAGATGTTTATTCATTTTTGCGAATCAGGAATGTGTTGACAAACGCTTAGAAAAAGAATCTTCAATCTGTGTCGCGAATTTGCTCGAAGTTTAGAGCTGAAGTAGAAATTAGGAGGAACTGTAAACATAATCCTGAAGAAGAAACAAAAGATCAAACCTCTACTCCTATTCAAAAAGGCGGGGAGATGTATGAACCGGACGATAGGTGAACCTTAGCATCAAACACTTCAGAAGTGACATGATAATATATTTATGAATTAGTATCAGATCAATGTATATATGTACACTACTTGAGTTCACACTCTCTGGTCCAGTCAATGTGTATTTGAATCAGAGTGTAATTTCTTTTTTTCTTTTTCATTCTGTGCTGTATTTCTACCTTTGGGTATTACACAGATTTTCTAATGAAAGATATTTCGCCGACCCTGCGGCTGCACCTCCATCATGGTACTAAAGAGGAAAGGTTAGTGTAATACCAAAAACCAGCATGGCGGTTATCTCGGGAACTAGGTAATGTTTGCCTTAACTTATATACATTCCTTTTGGCACCCCATATTAAAATATCTTTGTGTGACATCCCGCTAACATATGGTTGGAGTGACGGGTAAAGACAAACAAGAGTCTAGTATCTCTTCCCTTCATGTGTGTTATATTTCGACCTTCGGGCTTTTCATTGTTTTTGTAATAAAAGATGTCTCGTCTACGACATTCCAACCATGCGAGAGACCCTCTCTGATTACATTAAACAGACGGGTTTTGGTGAATACTAGCGTAATAGTGGTCGCAGGCATTGTGCAAATGGTATATATACGCATATGGTCATTAGACGTGAAACAAACCTTGTTCCACATCCCATGAGGTGGCGAGAATTACCGAAAAATTTGCAGTATATGGTAATATTCTAAGCATAACTTGGATGCAGCACAATGCAGAAAGTATGGGACTCCCAATGAGGATCGATCTCATTATACAATCATAATTGTTCTAGCGAGACAAGCTTACTAATAATTACACTACATCGAAGTGCTCTAAGATTATACTGTTCCTATTATATTTGCTTTGCGAAAAAATATAAATATGTTCGCTTTTTTGTTCATGCGAAACGTATTGTCATTTCAATTATATCAAGTCTGTCCTATTACACATGTTCCTAGAAAATAATGCTTTTTTATGATATAACTGAATTATTCGCATAAAAACGTATTTTCTTCCGTATTTTTAAGTTGATAATTTGGGTGTGTATTATAATTAAATATTAACTTTTTTCAGTGCATCCAAAATAACGCAGTTGAAACTAGCTAATGTGTAACAAAGAATTTAAACTACTATCCAAGAGGTGTAATAAAAAAAAAAATGATTCACGTTGATACGAAGGACATCATAGACTTGTTCACTGTCGCCGTATCAAAGATAGACATCAGGAGAATTTCATCTATCTTGCAAGTACTGTAGATGGCTTTGTCATCTTTGATATCGACCACAGAGTAATTTATCCTTCTTCCTCTTTTTCACTGACCCCTAACAGCAGTAATGTCCGCCTTTGTTTTACGCCACTCCGGCGAAATTGCTACTTGTATAATGTGTTTTTGATTATAATTTTGTTTCTTTTCCCAAGCGTAAATTTATTTTCACTTGATCATTTCTCTCCACCCCACCTCTCTCTCTCTCTCCCCCCCTCGGGCGTATGATCTACATATTTTAACTCAAAATGTTGAACAATTCAGATTAAATTTAGCGGCTACAACTCTAAAATGTCAGCATGAATTATCCACGAGTTATGGTTTTACCAGAACGACGTAGTCCAAAATATAATGTGTATTATACAGGAATAATTATGTTATGTGTTCCCCAAACTGTCATAGGTGGATGTTGCTTTTATCTCAGGTATGGTTGAACAATCCCCCTCAGTAATCAAACGTTTCCTTTGCTTCAAACAGTAGTCTAGCAAAATGACAACTGACAGTGCCTACTAAGCAAAATTGTATCATTGAGTTTCTCTATGCGAAAATATTGCTCCTATTAACAATCATCGCGGTTTGCTGAACATATACGGAGAGTAAATAGTGGATGTGTCTTGATAATGTTGACAATATGGGTAACAGCATTTCATTATTTTATACCGGTAATGATTAATGGAGAGTCTTTTCCAATTGCCTTTTCAAATTTTTTCTTCCCTTACAGTAATTGTGAGATGACAGTAATAAAACGTTTAGTCAAATATCTGGCGATTGTGCAAAACACCTTTTCCACGAAACCCAATTCAACTTAAATCGACCCAACAGTTTGCTGATTCAGTCATCAGCTTTCATTTACATCTCTCTCTGTCTCTCAGGATCTGTCAACCTGTCTGTCTCTATGTCTGTCTGTCTGTCTCTCTCTGTCAGTGTCTCTCTCTCTCTGTATCTCTCTGTATGCCTGTCTATCGCTCTGTCATTCTCTTCCTCACTGTCTCTCACCCCTCTCTCCCTATCTCTCTCTCTCTCTCTCTCTCTCTCTCTCTGTGTGTGTGTTCATATATATTTGCTAAATTTGGGTTTCTGTATAAATTGATAGATAATTATCTATGTATAAAATGGGCAGAAAGTGAAATACAAACAGGTTTTGTTAAATTATCACACACACAGACACACACACACACACAGACACACACACACACACATATATATATATATATATATATATATATATATATATATATATAGTGATTTTATGAATTAAGTTAGGTTTCTGAGATCTTTTGTCTGGGACAGGCGAAAGCTGAAATAGATCGTCAAAGCTTTTATATTGCTATTTGTCAAAGTATAACGAGATATACGCGCATACTTTTCTGTTCTCCAGCAACGTCTAAGTTGTTTTATGATTAACTTTATCATCATTATTACTTTAAGAAGTAATAATTTCTGTGGAAATAGAAGTAGTAACAGAAATATAATAATAATAATAGTTGTATACTGATATTATTTGCACATTTACCGAAGATCAAGTGGCGACAAGTTTCTTCCCTCTATGGTATTCTTGTTGAATTTAGTAACGCAGCTTTCGGTATGGTTTATTCTTCCTGTCTTGACTCTCATGCCATTGGACCATTTTCTGCTGCGTTCTCAGCTTATATTTTTTCAGTTTCTCTACAAGTGTAGCCAATTCCCCTATTAAAATTTATTTCTCTCGTTTTTTTCGTTTTTTTGTTTTTTGTTTTTTGTTTTTTACAAGGATTCTGGATTTGGACGAGTTTTTTTATCTGACACTCAGTGTCAGAATATAATTTTTTATTAAACAGACACTTGTTCTACTTATAGCATTTGTGTACTTGGCCGAATGCATGTCGTTTGCACAATGTCTTATGTTACACACTCCTTACTCTATTGTAAATGTTTGTGACGATACAACAAAAGAAACTCAAATTGGGCTGCATTTTGAGATGTAAAAATATAAAAAAAAACGAGTCAGACACAGAGATGAGATGGTGGTTACAGAGACGGGGGTATTCGAGATCCATTAAAATGTCAGGATGTCGAACAATAAGTTTCAAGGAAATTAAGTTCTCCCCAGTTAAATGAAAATTACAAGGAACATTTCTACGAATATTTCCACTAATTTAAATTGAGTATACTAACTATCGATATTAGTTATACTAATAAATTACTTTGTGCATCTTCGAATTAAAGTGTAAATGAACTATCTATAGTTCATATAAAGTTTAGTGCTTTCGACTAGCTTCAGTCATTATCAGGATTCACGACATTCACAATTTTAATTCAAAGAACTCAGGCAAAGAATAATCTTAAAATATAATAAATATAACTTTTATAAAATTTGTATTAGTGATCACGTGCTGACTGATCATCTTACAACAGTTCGCTGAAGTTTTAGTACAGTTATGGCTTTACGATGTTCTTACAGTCTTACCTTAAGGGGGCGGCCTGTTTCTCCTTTATATTTCGCTAAGGCTATGAACATCATTAGGGTGTATAGGGATGACACTGAACCCTGTGAGTGTTAGATTGATACATTCTGAAAGACCATACATGCAAAATGTCTATAAATAATCCCAAGTTATCCGTATATAATCGACACGATGCGATAGAAATGAGGTCGCTCATTCGAAAGAACCATTGGGAAAACTCCGATGTATGAATCGGACTGGTTGCTTGATTTTTAAATTCTATTCCATGATTATTGTGGTTATTCATTCGCTTGCTAGTAAATTTCACAATTCAGGGAACAATAACATATGTGTATTTTAGAATACATGCAGACACCATGTACGGGCCTGAGGAATATTTAATATTTCATATATCTATCATTATGTATTTCATAATACACATATCTATCATTACGTATTTAGTATTACACATATATATCATTATGTATTTAATATTACACACATCTATCATTACATATTTCATATTACACATATCTATCATTTTGTATTTAATATTTCACATATCTATCATTATGTATTTCATATTGCACATATCTATCATTATGTATTTCATATTACACATATGTATCATTATGTATTTCCTATTGCACATACCTATCATTATGCATTTTATATTACACATATATATTTAAACTATTTGCATTATTCGAACTGCTGTCCTCAGCTTTATTGTCCCATTCACAACGTTTCGTTTTGAATTTCGAACGGAACACAGAATAATCAATCTATGTTGTCGTTTCTGAAGATTGGTTCAATGTTGTTTGTGTAGACGTCATTCCGATGTTTACTTCATGAAAAAGGCTGACATATAAACTTCACGTTTCTAGGTAGCTTAGTAAAGTCACTAAGAATTTGTTTCATTCGGACAAATATCACCTGAAGTAGGACGGAGCGTACAACAGCCGAAACGTTGTGAATTTCAGAATAAAAATGAGGACAACAGCCTGAAAAATGTAAATAATGTAAATAGTTACAATACCCATCTCATATATATATATATATATATATATATATATATATATATATATATATATGTGTGTGTGTGTGTGTGTGTGTGTGTCAGTGTGTGTCAGTGTGTGTGTGCATAATGGTAAAATTATGTGTTTATTTCAGTAGTTACAATGGGGAAAGCGTTACACATATTCAGCCATCAGTTTATGGCATGAATTAAAGTGAATGAATGTTTTGAGATATTTTTAATAAATTCTAAATGATCAATAATGGCTTGTATAAATAAAGGCATCAGAGAAGCGACAAAATTTATTTGTTCCATCAACATGATGCTAACGATTGACTCGAAAAAGTACTGCTCTCAGATCAATTGTAGAAAGCAATTGTTGGAAAACATAGGTAGAGAATAGGTTCACAGAAATATTTTACATACATCAGAGTAAGTGGAAACTACGTCTTTCCACAATGAAAGAAAAAAATATTATGACATCATAACAGGGAAGTTTCCATTCACGGGATATTCTACTGTTGATCTATTAATTAGTCTTTATATAATTATTATAATGAAAAAAAAATGATGATACTTTAGGAGAATGTAAAAGGCACTTAGATTTTAAACAGATAAACATTTCACGAAGGATGCAATTGTAAAGTGATATGAGATAGATATCAAATAAATGAATGAAACGATAGGGAGAAAATTACTTTTTAATATATATATATATATATATATATATATATATATATATATATATATATACATATACACATATATATATATATATATATATATATATATATATATATATATATATATTATCCTCATATCTTAACATCAACACTATATGTGCGATAACTTATAATTATATGTACTCATTACGCAAATTCATATTGTAGTAAACATGTGTGAGTCTTACAAGGTTCTCTTCCTTTTCATTATTTGTACAAATCAAAGACGGCATATTTCAGTATCATGAAATGTTATTATTAAATAATTACAGTCTATCTTTGAACATAAGCAGACATATATTCGTCTGCCGGTGTATCTATTTAGAAACATGTATCTAAATAAGTAGTTACTTAGGTCTGATTGAATAACTAAAAACACATGCAAAAATTTTACTTACAAGAGAGAATTTAAAGACATGACTATTTATTCACTTAATTAATCCTTGATGTACCATCTGTTTAGCTTTTTTATATGTTCATATGATCAGCCAACCTACCTGATGCTCCCTCCCTCTCTCTCTCTCTCTCTCTATATATATATATATATGTATATATATATATATATATATATATGTATATATAAATAAAAAGAAAGAACAGTAAGATATAAATAAATAAAAAAAATAAAAATAAAAAAATAAAGTTCACTAAATCAGAGAAATGAATTAGCTATTTTTTTTACCGTAAGTGCCATAAATATTACTTAAATAATATCTAAATATAAAAGTTTAAAATTCGTAATATACATATACTTAATATGGAAAAATAATTTTACTTATTATAAGTAATTCTAATACATTTCCTTCTATTATAAAGAAATGTAGTCTATGAAAACTAACGATGAAAATATTTTAAAGTTGTAGTTAAATAAAAAGGAATTCTTACCTAAACATCTTTTACTTAGTACGACACGCACTTAAAAGAATCCAATAAAACACCTACAGTAAAATAAAATTAATATGAAATGCCAGAAGATGTAAGCTTTTGAATGACCCATGTCCATTGTACTTACATGAGAAACAATATATTACTAGGTTTATATAAAAAATAAAAGTTTACTAAATCAGTGAAATTAAGTAGCTATTTTTGCCGCCATTCTCATAAATTTTACTTAAACAACATTTAAATACAAAAAAAAAAAAATTAACCTAATATACATACTTATACTTGATGTAAAAATAATTCTACATAATATAAGGGATTCTAATACATTTATTTTTTCTTAAAAAATATAGTATATTAAAAATTAAAAATGAAAATATTTCAAATCATAGTTAAATAAAACGTATTCTAACCTAAACACCCCCAAAAATCTTTAAAAATATACAAATAGAAAAAAATGCCGTAAGAATTTTTGCCGTTAACAATAAATTTTTAAAAAATCAAGACGATATGCATTCAACGGATGTCAGATTTCATTGAAAAATACATCCCTAACCCCTACCAAAACGTAACTAATAACGGATACATCAAAATACAGACATAATGAACACCAAGATACCCCTTGTCTAGTTGAAGTAGATTTATCTGTAACCTTGGAAACGTGAATTATGATTTTAGCTGTGTCTTTAAAACCCAGTAATTTTAAAAGTTACTCCAAAATTCGCTTGAGGATGAAATGGAACTAATGTCTTTAATTTAATTACAAAATTAAATTCGTAGCTTTTAGCTTCCATTTTTGAAACATGGTTAGAACTGTGTAGCAAAAAAAATTTTTTAAATAAATCAATTTATAATATATATATATATATATATATATATATATATATATATATATATATATATCAGGAACACAAGAATATATGTTTACACACGCACACACATGTTTATTAATTAATGCATATATATTAGCATATTGGCACATACAGTTTGGGCTAGGCATTTGAAAACCTCTATTTAGTACGGCATAAGTGACCTAATGTAATGTTACCTGGCATGCGCCAAACTTTGACATTCACATTATTCTTCTAACTGTATAAATTTCATGGACGTCGCAGTTTCCATTCTGACACGAGAAATGAAAACAGTAGGCTACGATCATGCCAATAAGAGACACTCACTGTTTTGAATATATTGTGTGTTTCTATAATATAATGCAAAATAAAATTAAATGAGCATTTATTTTATTTCTAAAAAGAATTTCTTGGTATTCACCTGGAGAGTGGATGTAATCTTACTTATTATAAAACGCAGATTGTGTGTGTGTGTGACTGTACGTTTATATATTGGATCGGATTTCCAACATTTTTCAACCGATTTCAACAAAACTTCACAGGACTACGTAAAATTACTATGCGGTGGTTCCTGACAGCGCCAAAAATTGGAAAAACACAATTGTTTTTGCATGAAATCAATTTAAAAACACGATAAAACAGAATTCTGTCGCGAGAATGAAAGGGGGACAACTCATATCGAGTTATACTTATTATAAAACCCAGGTTGTTTGTGTGTGTTCGTTTATATATGGGATCGGATTTCCTATATTTTTCAACCAATTTCAACAAAACTTCACTTTTTTTTGGCAGGTAGTGTTTCTTATTGTGTTGCACACTTTTTTCTTTATTTTTACATTCAGAATGCTTTAAAAATTCCATTTACAAGACAATTGTTTATAATAAAATTCTATTCGATCGGTAGACTCAACGATTGAAAACAATGTTTTTGTTTGAGTTTGGGTTTGACCAATTCGTAAAAAAACCCTAAAAAACAAAAAAAAAAAAAAAAAAAACTATTTAAGACATGCGTGTCCGTCAACCTTAAACAATAATCTTTGTCAATTTTATTTTTCAGTCTTTATGATGGTTGATACTTGATCTATCTCTTACTGTTACATCCCGGGGCAACGCCGGGCTCTACTGCTAGTATCTGCTAAACTCTGAGTATGGGTAAGATAATTGAATATTTAATTTTATCTATCAATTTTTTGCCTCTATCTCTTGATTATAAGCATAATAATTGTAAAAACATCAGACTGAACTTTTTATTCATTTTACTTTTCTTTTTTATTGTTTTGCCCATACAATTAAATTGAATCTTCTGAGTTAAAGAAGTGAAACATATGTATGTATACACGAAGGTGAATCAATACGTTCAAAGCCAAATGTCGAAATCAGCATTTTATACGATTTATTTTTCAATATAGCTTCCTTCTTTTCAATAAACATTTCTGGAATATTTTGCAATTTTGATCTATATATTCAACATTTGGTTTGAAATTCTCAGATGAATTCTTTTAAACTATGTTAACTTGAATTAATGCTGAATAAATTGAAAATTAATTGAATTGCTATTGAATGAATGAATTAAGGTTCAATAATTACTTCAGACTGCTGTTCTCGTAATCTCTTTTTAAAATACCATTTAAACCACATTTAAAACATGTGACCTCTACTCCTCTCCTTCTCCTCTTGTGACTAAGCCTACATATTGTTGTTCATATTTCTGCACATTTTTAATGCTTATATATTTTCCTTTCAGATTAGTCAATGCCGATCAGATTTCTTTACGGCTTCAGAGTAAATATAGGCTAAACATATATATTGGCTCAGTGAATGATTAAGCTATCTGTAATATCTATAAAATTTATTTGCATGTCGATTTTAGAAAAGTTTTTCAAGAGAATAACACTTTGTTTATTTCAGAATCATTTGTGCAAAATTGGATATAAAAATATTTAGCGTATTTATGAAGCTTGACATAATCAGACGAAACGCCCAAAATGGTGCCATCTAATCAATTTGAACTACCTACACCGGGATAATAGCTTGCTAAATTAGCTCGCTAATATTCCATGCCTTGATATCCAGTACTAACATTTACGTATCCCTCTATATATTGTATCAGATATCAATACTCTTCGGGTAAAGGAGATCAGTTTCATTTTTTAAGAACCATTATGAATGTTGATGAGAGATCCATATGAAAAGTAATTTAACATATATCTGTTGCTTTTTATTTGATCAAATAAACACAACATCTCTGAACAGATAATGTTCACCCATTTTGTGAGTATTAATCGCTCTTCGGCAAAGTTTTTTGTTAAATATCTCGTAAACTGATGTAAGAACAATTGTTATATCCGTGATATTCTCAACAAATATGATTTATCGGGAAACATTATAGAATTACGTAACAAGTTAAGAAGACCCATAGAGGAAAAAGAAACAGTTATCCTTAGGGATCACGTCAGTCGAAAAACGCCTGTAAACCAAACCCTGAAAAAATAACATACTGGTCTTTTCCTGTTCTTTGTTTCACTATATAATGAAAAGAATTACAATCGAGGCAATAAGTGCTTAAAAAACTGTTTCTTTCATTGTCAGCCATGATAGAACCAAAGCAAAACCATAATTTTTTAATCATTTCACACAAGCAAAGCAATAATGCCAAAATTTCGCAAAGGGATACTGAGTGTTATAGAATAGGAGAAAAAATACAATTAAGGAGAAGGGACAATAAAAGAAAAAAAATTAAGAAAACAGAAGATAATTATTTACATGTCATTTAAATTTTTGGAAATCTATGTTGACTGGGAAGGAAGAAGCCAGAAGAGAGTTCTACAAACAAGAAAAGCGATAGAGGAAATGATTAGCATAGAACATACGTTGACATCTAGCCATTTCAACTATAAAATGATGAAATCTTGCCGCTAATGTAGAATTACACTTAAACTCATAAAATCTGGGTATCATAGAGTAAAGGTCATCAGAACAATTACCATGAAAGTATTTATAGAAAAGGTACAGGGAAGGTACGTTACGGCGGTGGGAAAGAGTCGTTAAAATTAACAAGCCATTATGGGAGGACGGAATTGTTTTAAAACCAGCACTCACTTTGCGCTATAAGGTTCACCCTGTACCAGCCCGGGGGCTCTCGAGGTAGAGGGTTACAGAGTCGGAAGCAGAGTTTATGCGGATATGTACGGAAGAAAGCTTCTAAAACTAGACTTGAACAGACTGTATTGATTACGAAAACATCCTCTTGGGAGTCGGTTCCACAGAGCTGAAGAAACTGCTACAGTAGAACCTCCTTTTCACCTATGGAATTCGGAGGAAATGAGAGGGGTTCATTACAATGCGCGTAGCACGGCAGGTCCGATATGTGAAGGTTAAAACTGTTGGAACTAAGGAATCAGTTAATCTGATCACTTTTCATAGAATTAGCAAATAGCAGTGAGTGGCTTCGGACGTCTCTTCTGTGAGAGAGGGGTTGCAAGGTGGAAAATAATTTATCTTCCCCAAGGATGCTGTAAAACTTTTGGACTCTATCGAGACTGAGGCGTGGGGGTGATGACATGGCAGGTTCTGTCCAGCAGTACTCCGTTTTCGGCCTGATCTGTCTCTTGTAAATGTAAAGGATAAAAGGTGCAGGCAGGTACTGGAGCGATACAGGCAACCAACAATTTTTACTGCATCTTTAGCAATAGATCGTATGTACAAGTTCCAATTGTGGTCCAATAGTCGGTCAAGGCACGAAAGCACCCTCTGGAAATATCCATTCATCGTGAGTGGTGTGAGTTCAGGGTCAGATCGGCAATGATGGAAAGTAACTAGCTTTTTTTCGAAACATTGAATGTAATCAGACTTTTCCCTCACTGAGATTGATAGGAGGAAAGATCAACTGACAATCTCTGGTCAGAATCTCACTCTCTCTTTCCCCCCTCTCTCACTCCCATCTCTCTCACTCTCTCCATTCTCTGTCTGTCTGTCCTCATTCTCTGTCTGTCTGTCTCTCTCTATCTCTCTCTCTCTCTCTCTGTCTCTCTCTCTCTCTGTCTCTCTCTCTCTCTCTCTCTATATATATATATATATATATATATATATATATATATAATCATGCGCACTTCGAAGTGAGTACTGAAAAGTTCTCTTTTCAAAACTGACAAAAGAGCAAAACATAAAAAAGTACCATCTTTAATCTAACTCATTTTCTCTCTCTCTCTTTCTCCCTCTCTCTCTCTTACTCCATATCTTGCTCTTCTAACCCTCCCTTGTTCTTCTCTCTCTTGTTTTCTACCTCACTCTTGCTTTTCTTGCTCTAACTAGCGCTTCTACCTCTCTCTTGCTTTTCTACCTCTGTCTTGCTCTTCTACCTCTCTATCTCTTCTACCTCTCTCTCTCTTGCCCGCTTCTACATCTCTCTTGCTTTTCTACCTCTGTCTTGCTCTTCTACCTCTCTATCTCTCCTACTTCTCTCTCTGTCTCTCTCGCCCGCTTCTACCTCACTCTTGCTTTTCTTCCTCTAACTCGCGCTTCTAACTCTCTCTTGCTTTTCTACATCTCTCTTGCTCTTCTACCTCTCTATATCTCCTACCTCTCTCTCTCTCTCTCTTGCCCTTCTACATCTCTCTTGCTTTTCTACCTCTGTCTTGCTCTTCTACGTCTGTTTTGCTCTTTTACCTCTCTATCTCTTCTGCCTCTCTCTCTCTCTCTCTCGCCCGCTTCTACCTCTCTCTCTCACTTTTACCTCTCTCTGGCTCTTCAATTTCTCTTTTCTCTTACCTCTCTCTTACACTTCTAATTCTATTACTTTTTTGCCTCTCTCATTCTCTTCTACCGCTCTCTTACTCTTCATCCTCTCTCTCTCTCTCTCTCTCTCTCTCTCTCGCTCTTGTATATTCGTTGCTAGTTAGTTTAAGAGAATATTTTCCATTCGGTGCTAGTGTTTGGCGTTCACATTCTGTTAAAGACCCTATGTTTAAGGTTGATTTTCAAGGCAAACAAGACACGTGTAGCACCCTATTACTGTTTTCATTGGCATATATATCTAGCTGTGAATGTATGCGTCCGCGTGTGTCAATGTATGTCCGCGTGTGTCTTGTTATTGTTATACGTAACTATTTTGTATGGCTCTGAACACGCACAGGAAGATTCTATGCACATACATCTTTTTTGGACGGACTTGTGTGGGTGGGTGTGCCTGCTTCTCTCTCTCTCTCTCTGTTTGTATATTTAAAGAATAACTCAACAGAGGAAGTATGGGCATTCATATTCTTAAAAATAGGCATAAATGCTTTCATAGAAAATATCCCACCCATGGTAATTCGTAAACACATAAACATTTTTTTTCAGTAGAACACTTATCTATATACGCATCGCGAAAAAAAAGAAATTTACCTACAGGGGCGCCAGTCATTAGTCTCAACGCCGACACCAACTACGCCCAGCAGCGATCAAGAAAAATATTATATTAACGTTAACTCATTCAAATTTAACTACTTTTGCGTGGGTAATAAACCTATAGCCAAGTTATATATATATATATATATATATATATATATATATATATATATATATATATATATATAGATAGATAGATAGATAGATAGATAGATAGATAGAGAGAGCGTCAACGCTGTTTTCTATATAAATTTAAGAAAATATTGGAAGCATTGTAACGTTTTCTCGAATTTTAGTCACTGTGAATTTATAATCTAACTTGCGAAAACGCTTGTTGAGTAAATGTTAGAAAATTAACAATAAATTTTAAGTTTATTATAGTTACCGCTATCATTTTGACTATATCGGGTATGGACGTCCGTATTTACAAAAATTGGCACGTTTATACGTTATAAATTCTTTTTAGAATATTATAGTTGAATTATATTGCGCTTTTCCAATTATGATTAGTAAGTAGTTCTAATTTAATAGAAATATTACTTGACAACTAAAACGTAATAAGAATTCTATAAGAATTAAAGTTTTATAAATTATCATAATTAAAAATGAAAACAATTCTTGTAAAAATTAATTATTTATTTAAATGTTATTTTGTTCTTAAAACATTAATTGTCCATAATATATTTTATACATAAAAGCAAATAAATATTAGAAAATATTTATATTAAATGAGTTTTATCATATGTTTTTATTGATTCAGAGCAGATTTTCTGTAACTGGGGTCTGGTTTGACCGTAAATAAAATTATTATTTAATTTCTCTGAAGATGTGTCCTTATAAAAAATATAAACATTTTGTTCTACTAAAAATAATTTCATAAAATTAAATAAATGGGGGATAAAAAGTGTTAAAAATGACTTTATATAAAGATTTTCTGAAAAAAAATAATTTAAGTAATTTGTGAATAAGTGATGAAGGTTTCATTAAAAACCAACAATTATCTGACTTTTACAAAAATTAAAATTTTACACCACAAAAAGACGCTAAACTTTAACACCGGGAAAGAAAATTCTTAAACAAAATTTGGAAGTTTCTGAAAAGGATCTTTACATGAAAGAATTATTTGGTCTTTCATTTTAATTATGTTAACAGAAATATTTCGATGATAAAATTATCTATCTATCTATCTATCTATCTATATATATATATATATATATATATATATATATATATATATATGGGGGGTGGACTCTCTAGTCTTTTTCGATGCATGAGTGTCTTTCAGTGCAGTTTTTATGTTTATGTCTCATATCCCGTATGCGGCAATAATACTACACGAGATTTGCAACCAAGGCCACACCAGGGAAATGCTGAAGTTTTGAACACCATCTGGACTGATGTATTGGTCCGAGATTTAATGTTGGTTCTTAATTCTCTCAGATGGTTGAGACAATTCTTTTAAAACTTTAGTTACGCCTCTGTGGCAGGGGTTTCTTCACTTTGCTCGGTTTTAAACAGCAAGTTCGAACTCTTCATATATATATATATATATATATATATATATATATATATATATATATATATATATCCGAATGTAATGAGAACAAAAAGAATATATAAATTCTAATGTTCACAGCATTAATTCAAAAGAGGGCTCAATCCCGATAGCAGAGCAAGAATTATTTGTTATAATTACTTTATATAGACAATAATAATTTATTCACTACAATGATGGAAATTCGTTTCAGTGCATTTAATATTGCACTTCGACAGGTGACAAAAGAAATTTGGGTTCTCACCTGTTGAGGTGCAATTTTAAATGCACTAAAACGAAGTTGCATCTTTGTGGTGAGTAAATTTTGTCTATATAAAAAAAAATATAACACACACACACATATATATATATATATATATATATATATATATATATATATATATATATATATATATATATATATATATATACAAAAAACAAATACATACACACATATATATAGTAATTATCAAACTTTATACGTTAAATACAGAGCAACGGTTTTCTATATTAACACAGAGATGTCTATCTACTTATCTAATTTATATATATATATATATTTTTTTTTCTTCGTCATATATATATATATATATATATATAAACATACATATATTGTGTGGGTGTGTTTGTGCGTGTGTATATATTTCTAGATGCCAAATATGGTTGTTTCCCTTTTTCACCATTTTCATGTCTTTTTAGACTTATATATATATATATATATATATATGGGGAAGAAAAATCTTCAGTTTCATAGATAGTGCGTTTTTAGATATTATGGACATAGGAATCAAGACTGTATTTGACTATCATACAGTGTTAGTTATATGCTGACATAGTACCTATAATTATTGTATTTCAACAGAGTAACTAATGAATTAGTTGTAGTTTATCGTCTGATTGTTAAATATAATGAATGCACCGAGGGTTGTAACCAATTAAACTAAGATAAGTTCGCAAAATTAATAATCAACTTCCATTTTGTAAAACTTCTTCTACTCATCTAGTTTCTCAAATCTAATTTCCTTATTTCCTCATTTAATTCCAGTAATTATTAAATATAGAAAAGGCCACTTTTCAGGTTTTCCCCGGTTGCATGCGTTAAAATCGGGCCTTTCTACATTTAATCTCGGAATAGTTGTATGTCATTGACATGAATAAGTGATATCAAAATTATCGCAATCATTAATAAGCAGTTTTATGTGGGAAGTTTAGGTAATTTATCAATGTCCGTCGATATAAAATGTTTTATTTTCCTTACCCGTCTGCGTAAGGTTTTACTGTTTTTCATCGGAAAAGGCGTATCAATGATGTGGCCACCAAAATATCCCCAGTAAAATGTCAATGGTTAATGTGTATAATGTAATAATATATCATTATATGCAGTAGTAAAATGTGACAAAATAAAATCAACCGGGGAAATCTCTAAAATTCTGCACAACTAGTCATATGTTAAATTATATTATTTAAATATATTAATAGATGAAAAGTGTGAGAATGCTAGAAAAACTAAATAAAAAGATAATTAATTTTTTCTTGTCTGCCATATGCAACGAATCATGTTTATAAGAAAGGTATTTATGGGATAAAGTACTCAATATCAAAGATAGAGCGTATGTACATATAAATATGAAAGTGAACATGGAATCAACACTCGGAGGTGACAGGCTGTTTCATGCTAGACGAAATCTTCAGGCCGCGACCTGACGATTGCATCCATCTTGAAACAGCCTATCGCCTATGAGTGTTGACTTCCATGTTTACTTTTTTTATATATATATATATATATATATATATATATATATATATATATATATATTTAGGCAGCATTTTTTCATTCATACATGTTTCATTAAATAATATAGACAAGTGTTGTCTATTTATTTTATGTAAATTCTTTTCATAAAGTCTGATAAACTTAACAACATTATCATTAAACGAAGAAAATCACAATATTGATTCATATTTTTAATCCAATCTAATCTTTCAGCTTACATAAGCCATTATCAAAGATGACAATTACAGTACAATATATTAAGCAACGCACGGACAAGAATGTGATGATAGCGTCTGTTTTTGTTTACATGGATGATTTCCAAGCAACGGCAAACACGTGCATATAAGACGCTGGAAGCGAAAATCGCACCGCATCTCATGACGTCACACATGACCACGCGAGAGTGAATTCGAGAAGTATTAAGTATGGGAAGCCGTTGGTATAAACCAATGGCTCCTGTTACCAATTATAGGCATTTAAGAATATTTGTGGAGATTTCATAGTTTATTTTGTCAGGTTAGGTTTTAACTGTTTGATGTATATTGCTTCAAGAATTTTTATTTTTTGTTTATTGTTTTCATGTTTAAGTATAATTGTGTTTTCGACAAGGATTTTACGGAATTGTGTATGCGGCCAGGCATGTTGTTTTAAATGCCTAAAAAAGTAGTGTCAAGCGTCGTGAAAGCGAGTTTGTGATGTGACCAAGATAAATATTATTTAATTCGTTGGAGATACAATCTCCCAAAGGGCACTTGAATTTCTAAACTATCTTGGTTTTTCGCAAATCGCTAACCGGGGGAGAAGAATCATTGCGAAGAATTAAGTTGGATATACTAGAATTAGTGTAGTATATGATTAACTTGATTTTTTTTGCTAGGATCTGTTGTTGATATATTTGTATTTACTAATTTTTTTAGTATATTTTCATCTTTTTTATAATTAGTATGCATTTGATTACGATAGAGGAGATTAATATGTTTGAAATTAGTAGAAGTAGTATTATGTCCTATTTGCTTAGTATTGAGATTTCTAAAAAAGCATCTTATTTGTTCATCAACTATATAGTTTGGAAAGCTATTATTAATAAGTGTTT